GCACAGCCACATGATGACTGCCAGAGGGGCAGGGACTGAGCCAGGCCGAGTGAGGGAGAAGCTGGGACATCCAGGGGAGCAGGTTTCCAAGCTGCCGTGGGCTAGTGAAATATGTCCCAGCTCCAGTCCCCTTCCCATCCTCTCCTCATCATCAGGGTTGGGGAGGCAGGGTGCTCGCTTGGACAAGGGGCCCCCATGGGCTTCTGTTGGCACAGTAACACTGGCAACGTCCTTGCTATGCATGATGCATGTGGGAGCTCCTCTTCTCCCCCCAGACTGCGGTTGGGTCTGTCCCCATCATGTTGCTCGTGCTTTGACCTGTGCACCCCAGCTGCCCTGTGAACAATTTGTGTGCTCTGGGAATGACTGCGCTGGCAACAAGACAATGCTGGGGATCTGAAGGGTCCCAGAACCAGGCAGGGACCCCCACTTCCAAGGCCCCCTGCAAGGCCAGGCCTAGGGACAGTGCTATTTCCCTTGGAAAAGACAGGCAGAAAGAAGTGGAGCCCAACACATGCTCAGGGTGTTTAAGGAGTCAGTAAGAAGGAAGCTAGAGAGGCAGATTACCCTAGATGCCAACCGTGCCATAGGTGGGCTCTGATTCCCTGCTCATTACAGTGGTCAGCAGGAAGCCAGGCGAGCGGGTTCCCAAGCCAGGGTGTCTGAGCCCGGAAGGGAGAGCCGGGGAAATCGGGGGCTAACTCTCTTGATCTGGAGCTGTCTCCCCACCAAACCCAGGGCACCTCGAGCAGCAGCAGAAGAGTTGGCGGCCCCATGCCAAGCACGGCGGTCAAGCCCGGGACATGCTCCTGCCCTCTGATGAGGAAGGCTGAGGCTCGGTCCGGCCACACTTTGCTCTTCCCCTGCCTGCGGACTGCCTCCCCGCTGGCTCACAAGAGCCCCGCACGTACCTGCCGCTCGCAGGCTCAGGGCCCAGACTGCCACGTCCACAGCAGCCACACGGTACCCCAGGGAAAGCACAGGGAGAACGTGATGCCTTTGGAGTGACCAGACTTGTCCTGACAACTCCTGGCCTCGCTGTTCGCGCCCTTCAGGTACCTGTTGGCCACTACTGGGTACAACCAGCTCAGCCAGGGTGTCCCTGCTCCTCTACGGGTCCCTTGCATCATATCTGCGACCCACTGAAAGGCCAAAGGTTTCCACTGGAATTGCCTTGGCTAAAGCAGAATTTAAAATAAAACTAATTTAAACAGAAATTTTTCTTTTTCTGGCCAGGAAATGCAACAAGAGGAAACTATGAGCCAGGAGACCTGGTGTTGCAATGACAATAGCGTGCTCTCAGGTGTGTGTATGTGTGTGTGTATACATACACATATATATATATTATATACACACACACACACACACACACACACACACACACATTATACATCTATAGTGCCTTTCATGCTCAAAAACTCTGAAAACACCTTAGAAGTGAGAACTAAATGGACATGGTGTTTGCTTTGCTTGGCAAAATGCAGTGCCCCCCTCTCATAACACGACCTCCTGAGGCCTCCAGGAGCCCAACCCCAGCCCACACACTCCAAACACACCCGCAAAGCAGCAAGAAAGCCATGGCAGGAGCAAGGGAAGTTTGCCAGCACTCACAATTATCATCCGGCAGACGTGTCCTCGGCAGAGCTCGGAGTAGGATGAGTAATGCATGTACACGACCCAGCTGCCCACGAAGATGCCCAGCCAGGCCAGGAAAAGGTATTTTACTTTGATGCCAGGGAGACGATTCTGGGGTGGGAAAACATCAGAAAAAGTGTCAGCATGGCGCGCTAGCAAACCTTGCAAATGGTTGGGTTGCGAATGTGCAACAGCTGCTGCTAATCTACTCCGTGGGCATCTCAGCACGACATGGTCTGCCTCCTAACCCTGCCCAATGCTCGTCCCTCTGAGCTCAGACTGGAGCAGGGACAGACAGCAACCACGTGCTGGTACAGCACCTAGTGCGGTGGGAGCCTTGATCCCGCACTAGGGTCTCGGGGCACCACCACCCTGTACAGAATTGCTCCCAGGTGTCGCACCAAACCACATCAGAGATGTCTGCAGCAAGATCGGCTGCAGCAGGGCCCTGCCACCCCGCCCTCGCCAGATTTCCCCACACCCTGGTGCCCACATGAAACAAGCCAAAGGCACCAGGCTAAGCTCAGAAGCACCTGGCTGCTCTTGTCTCGGCCAAAATCCAGTTCCTTTTACCCCTGACGGCGGTCCTGATGAAGCATTTTCTTTGCCATGCTGCAGTGGAGGGAAACTGCCGTCCAAAATCTTGTGCCGTGTGGTGGCAAGAGTAGGAAATCCCAGAACAGGCACTAGACACCATGCACTGAATAACAGGGGATCGACCCTCACGGCATATGCCATGTGCCTGCTCATCTGCGTGGGGAGGCAGCAGGTCCATGCATGCAGAGCTGGGACCGTGCCCCGCAGAGCTCAGTGAGGGGTCTCCAGGCATATGGGGTGGGGACAAACCGATTCGCCCCTCCATAGAAACTGCAGGCTTTCCCCTCCCTGCTGTTGCTCCTTCTGCCTGGTATTTGTATTTATCTCTACGCACGCTTTCTTATGCAACTGCTGCTGCAAGTAGGTCATTTGCAAACTCTAGAAAAGGCCGGCGATTACGCAGCTAGGTTCAGAGGTGCTGACCGAGCCACTCGACCCGACCGCATGGCCTGAAACCCACATGCAAACAGGCTCCCGGTGACATAACCGCGCAGGATGCTGCAGGATCACCAAAATATGTGACGCATCGGTCCGTTGAGGCACGCACGTTTGCTGCCATTTGGCCATCGTAGGGAGGGCGTTGCAATGGGCTCTGTTAGCATCTGTGAGATGCCGCTGGTGTTCAGCGAGAGGTCACATTGACTTTCCTTCCTCCCCAGGATGCTTCAGAGCTGCCCAGCTATGGGAGCACCCAGCACAGCTGCCTGTCTCCGGATGCATGCTGTTAAACCTCTGGGCCAGATTCACAGTCCATGTGGCCAGCCTCGCTCCAATGTACCCCTGCCAAGGAGGTGACCTTTTTAAATTGCTCCAGCAGCCTGGGAAATAACTGCCTTTCCTGTTTATCGTGAGCATAAAGCATCCTCTAAGAGCTGGGATTCCAGCATCACCCATAAACCCCGTAACGGTGCCACTATCCACTTTATAAGGGAGCGAGGATAAAACAGTAATATACTGATATAGATGGCAGGAGGCAACACCTGCTGCTTCTCAAGGGCACTCAATGCCCAGGGAAAGCCTCCCAGGCGGTGTTGAGCTCTTACTACCAGGATCTCATTCTGGATTGTTCACAGCCACCATGAATAATGAACGTACTGTCAAATGCATAAATAATATTTCATGCCGATGACTCCAAGGTTCAGCGAGTGATTTGTTCCTGGCATTAAGATGGTAATTTCTTCCACTCTGACCCCACAGCAGCCATGTTGCTATCATTTGGCTTCCTTACAGTGCAGGTTGCTTGCCTGGCTTCTGTAATACGGGCCAGGGTCCTGAGGGATCCCCCCCCCCAGCTCTTAAGATGAGAAGCAGCAGCACTAGCCAAATTGCTTCATTTCATTTCCATCTGCCTTTTTTGTGGGGCCTTCCTGGAGATACAGCCCTGCTCTGCACCCTTCCTGGGACAGACCCGGAGGGCAGCTGAAAACCACAGAGCAGAATCGTGGCTGCAAACAGCACGTGCTGAAGTCGAAGGGGCTTCCCAATATTTCCAGGGGTTTGGGGTAAAACCTCCTTAGCAGAGATCTTTGCAGGAGCAGATACCCTTTATGGTCCCTGGCCTGCGCTGTTTCTAGATGCAATGCCTGGCACTGCTTCTGACCACAGTCCAAACCACACAGCATTTGAGATCAGCTTTGGCACCGGGGGTGAATTCAACCCTCTGTTTGCAGTAAAATAGTCTGACAAAAAATAGGAAACAACTTTTGGCCTGTCAGAACGGACTCAATGCGATTGCACTGATCTACACCCACTGAGCACCTGGCCCAGTCTGCTTTCCAAACCCTGGGGCCGGTCTGACAGCGCTCCCACCATCTAGCTGCATCGGTGTCCATCCTGCATCAATCCTGAGAAGAGCTCATCTCAGTACTGTCTGCCTTGTCGTCCCACCGGACGGGTAGCAGTTAGCTACATGCATTTTTGTTCCATCAAAATCAATGGGTTTCCACACCAGTCTGCAGACAAGTGTGAACGCGTTTCGGCTGGAGGACAGATAACGGCACCTTGTGTGTTAATTGTAAATACCAAGGTGCAAATCAGCCCACGAAGCCCTGTGTTAGTGTGCCATGTTTCCCCACCAAGAAAACACACCTCTAATTAATGTCTGCTAAGAGAGGCAACTCATTACAACAAGGAGTCGTCAAATAGAAGAGATTTGTGGACACTCCTACGTGGCTGTGATGTGCTGGAAATGGAAAATCAGCCTGATTTGAAAATGGCTCGCGTATTAGCAAAGGGACCTCTTTGATATCGGTTCACTCTCGCCACCAAGGAGAGGAAGACTGAACAAGGAAGGAGGCCTGCAGGGTGCAGGATCAGCTGCGAGCAGAGCCAGGCAGGAATTTGGGGGGAAATCTCAGATTCATCAAAACTAAAACTTGAGTAGGAAGGGAGGACGCAGAGGATGGGTTTTAGCATAAGCACCAGGCTTCAGTGGGCCCCTTGCTCAGTTCAGGGTTGCCGACCCAGGCAGGACTCGACTACAGCTGGAGCGCTGAGGACCTCGCGACGTCCGAGTGCATTTGCAGACAGGTGGAGAAATCTTTTGAGGACAGCGTCTCTTGCCCATTTCTGACAGTCTCCATTAGTCTCTCTGCATGGAGTCATTCCAGAAGATGACACCAGTGGCCTTTCCCTGCGGTGACACCGACCGAAACCTTGATTCCCTTTGGTCTATCTGGACACTTTATGCTTTGGCAAGAGAGAGAGGGTAGGAAAAAACCCAGCTCCTTGTCTGAACCTGGCAGGAGAAGCCGTGGCTGGGATCCAGCCCCCAGATCCCCACGTGGCGGGGAGTGTTGGCAATATTTCGGACTCCTCTCTGTCCGGTGGCAGTGGGTTTGGGACGTCTGGGTGAGACCTGGCACTTCTGTCCGTACCGAAGACAAAATTTACCCCTGCTATAGATCCAGTCCTGGGCAGTTGTTTTTTTCTTGAGCATCTTCCAACCAACTGCAAAACCTAGTCTGGGATTGTAAGGTACAATTAAGAACAAGAACTGGCATTTTGGCTGGCTTGGTTTTAGGCAAAATGAGGACCCCATCTGTAGTGAAACCTATTTTTTGTGCACTGCAGTAGCTGTAGGAAGGCAGGAGCCAGCGTGCCCTTGTATCAGGTGTTGTACAAAGAGCTGATACAGCCCGTCCCTTCCTAGAGCATTCGGACTGAAATCTGGGCAGTATGCAGCGGGAGATCAAAAATCAGAGAGAAGTGGGGCTGGAAGGGACCTACCGAGGTCAAACCTAGTCCACCCCCCTGTCTGAGGCAGGATCATCCCTAGCTAAACCACCCCATGCAACCATCACCAAAACTCTTCCTAAAACTACCATCAACCTTCACACCGTGCAGACCGAGCACCCGAACCTGCCACAAGTCAAGCAGGGGAACCACAGCTGCCGATGCGCTACCGACAAGTACCTTTCAAGCCATCAGAGACCCCCAGTGTCTGATCACCGGCCCCCCCTTGCAGACAGCGTCCATCGTTGCTAGAAAGGGAGTGCTTGGGGCTGTGCCGACGTCAGATGAAACCATGCACTTGGCTGTAGGGAGAGTTTTATGGTTCAACCAAGCCTTCTGGTTACTGCTGGCACCGTGGCCGTGCATAGGTCTGCCCTCCCCTTGCTCAGCCTGCCCCTGTACTGAGCTGCAGGATGCCCCAGTGCGTGCAAAAGGATCTGAATTCTTGCATGGGGTTCGGTTTAAAGGCAAAACCGGCTGCGTGCTGCAAAAGATGCTCGCTCTCTATCTCTGCCGCAGCTCCCCACAGCCCACCTGTGCCACGCGGGCTTTCCCTGCCCTCCGAGGGCCTTCTCAGAGACCAGGACAAAGAATAGCCCAGGCCCACGCTGTTCCCTGCCAGGCTTCGCTAGCGGATTCGTTGTTGCTTTGCTGTCGAGAGTGAGCATCCGTTCAGCTCAAACCGAGCATCTTTGGAGAGAGGCGTAATCCCTTATGTAATTCTGGCTCTTCTCAAGCAGTTTCTTCTGCGGCCTGGATGCCTGTGCTGCAGCTTTAAATCCGTCGCAGAAATCCAGGCAGGATGGGTCTGGGGAAAGTCTTGGGCAGAAGCTCTCTGCCAGGGCGCTTGACAGGCGGAGGAGCTGTCGGGATAATGCGGTTTCCCTTCCTCTAATGGAGTTTACTGCTGGAGGGGAAAAGGTGCTCTGCAACGCTTTGCCAGCGCCGGCCTTGCACGGAGGGACGCAGCCTAAGAGCTTGTCAATAAGATTTGGCACAACTCTCGCAGCCGAGGAGCAGGCAGGACAACGGGAGGGTTTTACAGCAGAGCAGAAACACTGCGTCTCGCGCACGGCGCAGGCTCAGGGCCCAGACCCTGCTCCACCAGCTCCGGGCAGCTGCAGCTTTGCAAGACTGCTCCGGCGATGTCTCCCTCCGCGCTGTGTAATGGGAGGCAGCGACTCGAGCTCCCAGGCCCCGGATCCCCCTTACAGAGGGGGTCTGGGAGGCTGCGCTCACCCGGGTAGGGGCACTGCTCCTGATTCACGTGCGGGGGACCCTACCCGCTCGGAGTGGCGCTTGGGCTAAGCCGACTCGGGTCCCTGCTCCGAGCACCAGAGCCGGCGAGCAGGATCTGTCCTCCAAGGTGCTGAGCTGCGCCTTGGCCTTCACTTTGCGTGCAGAAGACGTGGGCCGCGGCGCAGCCCGAGCGTGCAGCTGGCCCCACGAGTGCAGACAGCAGGACGGGGGCAAGGGAACGGCTGTTTTGCTCCAAGCCCTGGGCTGATTCTGAAAAGCCCCCAGCTCCTTGCTCTTGCCCTTGCCAACGGCCCTTCGCCTCCGAGCCCGGGGTCCCACCCTGCTCCCAGCTCAGCTCCCCTGCCCCTGGGACTGTCCTCTGTGGCGTGACGGAGGCTCACCCTCCTCTCCGATTTTGTCGGTTTTCCTTATTCCTGCTCTTCTCCCCGACTTCCTCTGCTTGTCCTTCCACCTTTCTCCCCCCGCCAGCCCGGAGGGACCCTAGCAAACCCCTCTCCGTTTGCCCGTTCTCCATCTAATCGAGCGCGAAAAGAGCCTGGGACCTTTCCTTCAGCTCCTCCGACCACTTGAAAGCCCAGGCGCTGCGGCTGGCTTTCTGCACGCCCTTGTACAGCGGCTTCGCCTCCCGAAAGCTCGGGCCGTATCTACATGGGCTCAGGGAAGCCTACGAGGTGCCCGTCTAGCCTGCTTTCTCTCGTAGCCGTTCTTGGCTGGATGTTTCCTAACAGGGGTTGAGAAATCCTGCGATTCACAGGTCCCTCCACCTACAGAAAGGCAGGCAGGCCCCTGCCCTGCCCTTTCCACTCCCAGTGCCCTGGGAGTCTACTCCCAGCCACAACTCGTGGGGTGCTGGGTCCCACTCCCAACCCCTCCAGCTCCTCCTGCCCCTACGGGGAGACGACGCCCCGGCCCTCGCCTTCCTCCTTGGCCCTCAATGCACCACCTCCGCACGCCGAGACGTGCATGAAGCTGGTCCAGAGCTGCCTTGGCTGGTTGGTTTGTTTGTCAGAGCTGCCTGATTAACAGGCCAGGCGCTCTATAGGCAAACGTGGCTCCTTTCCAGCATGACGCTTGCGGGCAAACTTCCCCTCCTGCCTGCGGTGTCGGCGCGTGTTTCGTCGCAGGAAAATAACCCACCGTTGCTCTCCACGAGCGAGGTGCAGGGTCCGGCTCGAGGGCCCGAGCTCCTTGCCAGCTTTGCATTCAGCCCTTGGTGCCAAAACCCAGCATCTTTGCTGTTGTCCCTGGCGTGCGTGTGCTCCTGACAGGATGGGGAGCAGGTGGGCAACGGTCCCATCCATCCCAGCCTTCCTCAGGGGCCTCCTCCACAAAAGATACCCAGATGGAGCAGGGGTGAAGGAGGCAAACCAGCCCCACCGGGGGCTTCCTGGCGCTGCCTGGCTGAGCCCAGCTTTCTGCATGCAGCTGCAAGCCCCGGCGTGCCTCCTGCCCCATCCACGCCTGTGCCATCCCCGCTCCGGCTCTGCACCAACCCGCTGGCCCCGGCTCTGGGTGCCCCGAAACACCAAGTTTCTCCTTCCGTCCATTCCCCTGCATGTTTCACCCCCTCCACCCTGGATCCCAGCTGCCCCATGCTCCGGGGTGCAGTGCATCTGAATGCAGATGGGTGCCTGGCCCAGGCTCCGGGCATCCTGGGGGGGCATGCAGCCCTTGAAGAAGGGGGATGCAGTGGGTCTCCCAATGGTCCTGAAGGCAGATGGGTGCCTGGACCAAGCTCTGGGCATGCCAGGGGGGTGTGCAGCCCTTGAAGAAGTGGGATGCAGTGGGTCTCCCAATGGTCCTGAAGGCAGATGGGTGCCTGGGCCAAGCTCCAGGCATCCTAGGGGGTGGAAACCTGGGAAAAGGGGGGCACACCATGGGTCTCCTGATAGCCCTGAATGCAAATCGGTGCCCGGCCCAGGCTCCGGGCATCCCCGGGGGGGTGGAAATGGAGGAGGAGGATGCAGTGGGTCTCCCGGTGGTCCTGAATGCAGATGGATGCCCGGACCAGACTCCAGGCACCCTGGAGGTGGAAACCCCAGGAAAAGCGGGGCTCACCGCGGGTCTCCCGATGGCCCTGATGCAAATGGGTGCCTGGCCCAGGCTCCGGGCATCCCCGGGGGGGTGGCAGCCCTTGGAGGAGGAGGATGCGGCGGGTCTCCTGGTGGCCCTGAACGCCCATGGGTGCGGGCGCCTGGCCCAGCCGGGGGGTGCATCGCTTGGGGAAGGGGCTGCCTCACCTGCAAGCCCTTGGAGAGCGGGCAGAAGAGCACCAGGTGCACCAGCCGGCGGAGCCGCCTCATGCTGCGGGCGGGGCCGGGCGGGGGGCCGGCGGGGCTGCATGGGAGCGCGGCTCAAGCCCAGCCGAGCATCCTCCCGCCGCAGCCGGGCTCTGCGGCTCCTGCCGCCGCCTGCCAGAGCTGCAGTTAAAGGGGAGGCTGGCAGGGGGAGGGCGCTTTGTGACAGCCGATGGGAAAGCAGGGAGGATGGGGAGGGGGGGCAGGTTGCGCTGCAAAGGCACCCCCAGGGCAGAGCGAGCGCAGGCCGGCTCCCCCCCGCCCGAGCATCTCTTCCCCGGAGGGAGATTTGGGATGCCCCCATAGGACGTGGCCCCTCTTGGTCTTCGCCTTGTAGGAAAGGCTTTGGTACCCGGGGAGAAAACTCCTGGGCGAGGGGGGTTTCCTCCGACTGGAAACTCGTGTCTACACAGGAAGCCCCTGGGCAGTGGTGGCCGTGGGGTTGTTGGGCAAGAGAGGCTTTTGGGGCCCCAGTTTTGATGACCGATAAGCGAGTCGGACGTTTTCGGTTTCCTTTGAAACTGGAAGGGAAGTCTCTTCGTGCAACCCCAGTGGCACAGATTTAGCGCCGTTTGTTTTTATCGGTGTAAAGTGCGGTCGCCCGGTTTGCCCTCCCCTAAGGCCGCCTGCCACACGGGGCAAGAGGGGCTGGGGGCCACGGGGAGCCGGGCAGGAGGAAGGCGAGCCGGGTGGGTGCAACCCCCAGGGCAGGAAAACAGGAGAGAGGGGCCTTAAGGCCTGTGGCTCGGAGAGCTGAGACGGGATCAGGTAGATGGGAAGGAGCCGCGGAGGCATCGTTTCATAAATATTAGGGGCAAGTGACTCGGGCAGCACGGCCTGGATAGACATGCTGCGGTCGCGGCCAGGCGGTCGGTTTTCCCACAACATGATCCCAGTGCATTCAGCAGGGCCTCAGCACTGACTCATAACGAGCAATAAATTGGCACCTCCTGCAACTTCCAGGGACAGGGGTTTCATGCCAGGGACCCGGAGGAGGTGCTCAGTTCTGCCAGGGACCCTTGGTTTTATGGAGCTTCTCGTCACGTCATCCTTTCGGGCTCCAGGTGAAGGGAAAACGTCTTCTTATCTTGTGAATGTGGAAGGACTGTGCCAACAGGGTCAGGGGTCCACTCTACGACAGCAGGGTGCAGAGGTCTCAGGGGAGCGTTAGGTGCTGAGCCGACTGGCAGAAAATGGCAAACCCGGCACCGACCTTCGCGGCGGCAATGGGCAAGGCAGAGCACGGAGGAAGGGAAGTTTGCAAGGGCACGTGTGAGGCCCGTATTCACCGCACAGGAATCCTTCGTTACCAACAGCGCTGCAGGTCGTTACTTCCCTGCGAGCCCTTTCCTCCCTTGTTCGTATGCCCTCTCCTTTGCAGGGTGTCTTTGTTTGCTTTTGCACTTCACTCCAAGTGGGCTGGGAGCTCCTTGCCTTTTGTTTCCAAGGGGCTTCTAGCCGGTGTCAGTCTCCAGTTCCCAGGCACGAGCACAAAGCGGCTGCTGTTCCGGCTCCTAACGCTGTGACACCCACTTAAATGCACATAGACAGCCAGACAGCCAGACCAATATCTATCTATCTATCTATCTGGTTTCCAGCACAGATGTATAATAATCAAATTCTATTGTTGCTATCATTACTATGTATGTATTCCAAAAAGCAACATATGTGTACCAAAAAGTACATGTATCATATAGCTATGCATATGTGATGGAATTAGATAGACTATACCTATATATATATA